TTGTACAACTCCCCCCACTCCTCCCATCCCCAGTTCACTTTACTGTGTGGCTCTTATACTGGACAGTTGTCATGCAAATAATACTTAAACATATATTACTTTTAAACAGTTCTCTCCCTCATCTGTTTCAATGCAGTATACATTATTTATCCCCTCTATTCTTAGGTTCCCCTCAAACCTGATGTTAGTCTCTTTTTATAACAGTGGCACTATGCAGTATCTGTCCTTTTGTGACTGAGCTATTTCACTCAGCAAAATGTCCTCCAGGGTCACCCATTTTGTGTAGTAATTCGTGAGTTCCTTGTTTTTCAATGCATCATAGTACAACTTCTCTATCCATTCATTTGTTGTTGGGCACTTGGGTTGTTCCCAACTCTTTGCAATTGTGAACAAAGCAGCAATAAACACGGGTGTGCACATATCTGCTTGGGTGGCAGTTATGGCTTCTTCAGGGTATATTCCCAGTAGTGGAATTGCTGGGTCAGATGGTATTTCTACTTGCAACTTCCTGAGAAAGCACCATACTGCCTTCCATAGTGGTTGCACCTTTTTACATTCCCACCAACAGTGAATAAGGGTTCCAGTTTCTCCACAACCTTGCCAGCATTTGTTGTTTGCTGTTCTGTTAAATATTGCTATTCTTACTGGGGTGAGATATTATCTCATAGTTGTTTTGATTTGCATCTCTCTTAGAGCTAGGGATTTTCAACACTTCATGAGTTTGCTTGCCATCTTAATGTCTTCTTTGGTGAAGTCTAGAATAAATTTATTCTTTTTTTTTACAATAAGTTTATTCTTTTTGTTGTTTTTGTTGGTTACACTTTATTACATCAGATGGGCTTTGGGGGACAGTGGGGAGCACTCAGTCTTTCTTGGCAGCCGCCTTCTTCATGATGGCCAGGACATTGCTGAGTTCTTTTTGCTTCTTCTTGGCGCGGATGTGTGTCCCCACCCTTTTCTTGATAAACTTGAGGGCCCACTTGTTCTTGGAGACCTTGAGCAGCTCCATGGTGCTAGGGCGTGAAGTCACGCACCTCCTGGATCATGTCCCGCACCAACTTGGTGTGCTTGGTCAGGCGCCCATGATGGTGGCTGTGCCTCAGCTTGCTCACGTTCTTGGTGACTTTGTGGCCCTTGTTGAGGCCCACGGCCATAGGGTAGTGCACAGCCATGGCTGCTGCACATCTATGATTGCCGCGGCAGAAGCTAGAATAAGTTTATTCTTATGTATAGAAAAGTCAGTGTGTGCATCAGCCCAGTATGATGGCAAGCCATTTGTGCTTGGCCATGTCCAGTTGGTGATACTGGCCACTGACTTGGGCCCAGGACTTTGCCTCCCCAGTGAAGGTGTATCTCATATTTGTCGTTGTAATTGGTCCTGATGGCTTCTACCAGCTTTGCCAGAGTGCCTTCATCCTCCAAGTTCACCCGTATAAAGGCAACAGTGGTGTGCAGGTCTTGCAATGGACAAGGTGACCCAGTCTGGCCTTGCCTTTGATGATCCAGTTGGGAACGTTCATCTTACAGCGCAAAGCCAGCAGGAAGACCACAAAACCTTAGTATTTTCAATTGCTTCATATACCTGTGAAAATCAGTATGTAAGGAAGACTGAAGAAGACTTTATGTCCAATGGACCACCAAAAGTACAAACAAATCTTTCTTGGAAGAAGTGCAACAAGAGAGCTCCTTAGAAGACTTTGTCTCACATACTTTGGTTATGTTATCCGGTATATTTCTAGAGAAAGATAGCATGATTGGTAAAGTGAGGATCAGCAAGAGAGAAAGACCTTCAATGAGATGGACTGGGACAGTGACTACAGCAATGGGCTCAAACAAGCCAGCAATTGTGAAGATGGTGCAGGACCAGGCTGAGTTTCCTTCATGAGTAGGAGCCAGCTCTATGAGGTCTAACAGCAGCACAACAGTGAGCTCACGTGTCCCAGAATCATGCTTAGATGACTAGCACTGCATGACATTTCAAGCAGGCACTCACAACATGGTAGCTCACAGCAGCAGAAACAGAAAAAACAATCTACGTATAAGTGGACCCACTAAGTTCATCCCTTACTTCTGAAAATTAGCCATCTATGGATCACATGAAATCTCTGTGGTCCCAACTGATCACCAGGATGGTGCTTGACAGGCAGTGCTATGTTCCAACCAGCTGCGATGTACAACCATAAGTCAGGGGCCAGCTCCTTAACCTCAAACAGCAAGTATTAGCTAATAGTTAAACCAAAGCAATACATGGCTGATGACTGAATGGAAACTCTGATGGAAGAGTTCAATGAGAGAGAGGGGGAGCTTCCCAAAGACACAGCAATGTACCATCTGCCCCCCAACCAAGCTAGTCCTTGAGGGTTAGTCCATACATACCTAGGTAGTTGAGGCGTTGCTGCAGCTTAGTGGACAGCCTTGCTAACTCTTCCTTCATGGATTCATGGCTGGCAGGCAGTGTGGCTATGTAGCTCATGGAATGCCTCACTGCCTCCTTCTTCTCTTCAGGGTTCATGGTCTGTGAAGCTGGAACTGACGTATGAGTCCCAGCTGCAAGTGTGCTGGCATCAGGAGAAGATAAGGGAGTGGGAGCATAGTCATCTTCTAGGTCCACGCCTTCTTTGAAGATGACTTCGTTGGTGGCTCCTCGGGCAGTCCCAGCACCTAGATCCTCTGCAAGTACCCCTAAAACCCCAGAGGAAGCCACAGTTGTGGCCAGGTTGGCCAGGTTGGTGGCTGGGGCATCCTTTACCACCTGGGCAGCGGCCTTTGCTGCACGGGCTGCAGAGCTAGCCGCAGCAGCATAGGCAGCTGCAGCTGCAGCAGCAATGGCAGCTGTGGTCTTGAAACGATGAAGGGCAGACTGGCGTGCCTTGGGGGACACTTGTTTATGGGGCACTTCCTTGGAGGGTACTTTATTGGGCACTTCTAGGGTAGGCACTTCTTTGGAGGGTATTTCCTTGAGGGGTACTTCTGGGGCAGGTACTTCCTTTGAGGGTGCCTCTTTGAGGGGCACTTCCATGGGGAGTACTTCCAGGGGGAGTACTTTGAGGGGGAGTACTTCCAGGGGGGGCACTTCCAGGGGGGGGACTTCCAGGGAGGCCACTTCCAGGGGGGTCACTTCTAGAGCAGGCACTTCCTTGGATGATGCTTCCCTTGAGGGCCCATCCTCAGGGGGCGGTTCGTGAGGCACCACTAATTCAGAAGTGTTCAGCTCTTCTCCCTTTTCCAAGACAACTTGGAGATGAGGGACCTTGGTGTGGTGAGGCTTGTGAGGCTGGAGTGCCTGGGGCCAGGCTGAGCCCATCTTCCTGGCAGGTGGTGGGGGCCTGAAGGCTGGGTATTGGGGCTGAACAGGCTGTTGAGGTTCTGCTGGACCTGGGACATACTCAAAAAATTCTGAGGCCCAGGAAGGCCAACTAGTTGCTCCATTCCAGCCTCTGGGAAGTGGCCAGCCTCTTGATGGTATAGGCCAGCTTCTAAGGGCTGGAGGCCAGCCTCCAGGGGTCATGGGCTGAGGCCTCTGAGTAGGCCCAGATTCCATAAGCCATGATACTGGAATATACCCCTGGCTCAAGCTAGGTTGCAGAGCAGGCATGGACTCAGCCTGCTGTGAAACATCTGGCTGGCCCAGCTCATGGGTCATGGGGAGCTGACCAGTCTGTGCAAACTGCTGTTCATAGATTATCTCTGGGAACTCATAGTCCCACATAGTGTGTGCAGGCTCTGTGCCCTGGGTGGGCTCAGAAGATTGGATGCCTGCGACTGCTTCGATGTACCCCCCTGACTGTGGCATGGTGGTCTCTGGTAACAGCCTGGTGTCCTCTAACAGCAAGTCAGGCTGCAGGTCTGGCTTGAGCACTGGCCTTCTCGGCATGCCCTGTAGAAGACATGAGCTGGACTGGCCACACTGCTTCCCACCCACAGTCCCTGCCCTCTTCCTCTCCTTGTTCCCTCTGGTTTCACACTCCTTCACTCACCCCAGAGAATATGGCCTCATGGAGGCTGCTCCAAAGCACCAAGTCTTCGACCTTGGGGAAGGTGCTGAGTTTGTTCTGGAGAGTAGTCTGGGGCCAAAAGGTTGAGGGGTGTGAATGACAATCAAATATGTAATGGATCTGAATCTTGATCCTCACCTCTTTGGTTTTTTGGATTTGAACAAGTCACCTGTTTTAATTGCTGCTGATCTTGGATTTGTCAGTCTCTACTGACAGGTAAGTAATTTCCTTTAGATAAATCCCTCTCTTTATATACATGTATTACACTTCTTTCATTTTGCTTCTCTGGACAGGCCAGACTAGGATTCCAGCCCTAGGTCTGCAGGGGTTGGAGAAAGGGAGGATAGGGGCTATAGCCCTCACCAGTTCCCGTTGCACAGCAGTCAGCTTACGATTCTGTCTTTTGACATCTTCGAAGAAAGCTTCAAATTTATCCAAGTTTATCTGTCAAAAGAACCAAGTCTGTGGGCCAGGGACATACTTCCCTCCTCAGCGTTTCCTTTCATGCCTTGCAGCCACTCACACGTCTTTATGCTTTTTTACAAATGGAAGGCTTGGGGCAGCCTATCACCAAGCAAATCTACCAGTGCTATTTTTCTAAGAACATGACTCACTTCCTGTCTCTGTCCTATGCTGGCTAATTCTCACAGTGATTCAAACTTTCTCCTAAGCTACTCAGACCAAGCCCACCACTGTCCTTGAGTCAGTTGTAACTTATTGAATGGGGGGTGGGTGTGATCAATAGATTTGAATTGCCAACTTTTCAGTTAGTTACCCAACATATAATGCACACCACCATCAGAGCTCCCTGAATGGTCTACAGTATAGTGTAAATAGAACTTTTTTTGTACACTGGGAAAACAAAAACATGGAGTGACTGTCTTTACGGCGATATTGCTATAGAATGTTAATCAGGAACTGAACCTGAGATATTGTTGAGTGTGCCTGGAGAAGGAACTTGCTACAAGTGTGTAAGAGTTTGTGAAGGATGAATAAATCCCACAGCAGTGTTTTCCAGAGAGTGAGAATAGAGTTCCATGAATAAACAAGGTTGATAAATGCTAAACTAAAAGGTGTTAAATAACTTCTTTTACTGTAAAATGTCTGAGAGCCTTTAATAGAAAAAGCTCTTAAAGATCCCAATGGCTCAATTCTCAGCCAAAAACCAGGCCCAGAAGGTGAACAGTAATGCAAGGGAGGCACTCAGTCCTTAGAACAATCAACCAATTGAGATTTTTCCTGGGAGGAAGCAGGAAGAGTGCCATTATATTGTGGGGACTGCAGCCAATGCCACAAAACAAAATATGTAGGAATGGCTGACTGGAAACTGGATTTGCTCTGTAGACTTTTATTCAATTCACAAGCAAAAGTTGAAAGAAAAGACGAATCTCCAAGAGACAAACTGAGTAGGCTCTGTTTCTCAAGCAAATTTGTGCACGGATTTTTAAAAAATTTGTTTTAGTATTTTCTGGCACAATTTTTAGTTTTCTCTTCCTACAGGACCACTCAGACCTAGACTAATAGTTTCAAGGGTTGTTGTGATGAGCAAATGCATCCACTACCCTGAGGTCTGGGGACGATCATTGAGCCATACAAAATTTCAGCCACAACACTGGTACCAGAGGTGTGGCCATGAGCCCCTCCTTGTCATAGCAGGATGCTAGAACACACCTGGGTGGACAATCTCATGTTGATAATATGAGTTAGTGTAATATGTCTGTGCTAGGTTTATTCCTCTTTTCAATATAGACAGAACTTTCCAGAAGATGAAAATGTATTCTCTTTCTGCTAAGTTGCTCGGGCAGGAGCTCAGAGATACTAAGAGTATCTACCTGACAATGAAGTCAACCCAGAGGAAAATATTACTGAAAGAGATAGACTGTCAATGCTAAATAAGCTCTTAGGTCCAGCTGTGTCTGAAATCATCCCTGGATTTTATTGGTAAATGAGATAGTACAATGTTACTTTGTTTTGTCTTAGCCAGAGTGAATGGAATAAAGACTTGAAAAATTCACTGATGAAATTCAAAGGTGAAGGAAGATGTGCATCCTTTTACTATATTCCGTCTAATGGTGAGCAGATTATCTGAGGAGCACTACATAAAGAACACAGCATCAGGACTGGGTGAAAATTCATTAAAAGACCTGAGATATGCAGATGATACAATCTTGCTTCCTGAAAATGAAGAGTATTTGATGTACCTACTACCTATTGATAAAGTTTAAAGACCATAGCCATCAACATGGATTATAAAAATCCTCATAACTGATCCAATAGATAACATCTGGGTAAAAGGAAAAAAGATTGAAGTTGTCAGGATTTCATTTTGCTTGAACCAACAGCATTGCTCATGGACATAGCAGTGAAGAAATCAAATAATATATTAACACCACCAAACACATCTTTAAAGTGCAAAAGAGCAAGAATGCCACTTTAAAAACAAAGGTGTGTCTGACCCAATCCATGATATTTTCGTTTGCCACATATTCATGTGACAGACTTTTAGTTGTTGTTGTTATGTGCTGTCAAGTCCCCTACAACTCAGAGTGGCCGTGTGTATAACAGCTCTGAACCCTGCTCTATCCTGAGCCAACTTTATTATCTCTGACACACCTACCCTCATTTCCCTAGTCACTGAGTCAATCCATCTCATTTAGTGTCTTCCCCTCCTGCGTGGTTCCTCCAACTCTCCCAAGAATGATGTCCCTCTCCAAGGACTGGTCTTGGACTTTGCAACATGCCCAAATAATGTCAGATGGCTCTTCAGAATTCTTGCCTTCATGGAACAGCCTGGTTTAACTCTCTCCAGGACTTATCTGTTTGTTCTCTTAGCAATTCATGCTATACTTTATACTCTTCTCCAGCACTACAGCTCAAAGACATAATTTTTCCCTCTATCATCCCTAGCCATTGTTCACTTTTCTGATGCATATCACTTAATTGTGAAGACCATGGCCTGGATCAGGTGCACCTGAGTCGCAGACTTCCTTATTCTTTAAAGAAGATCCAGGAAAAATGTATGCCTTTGAATTGTGTTCTCAAAGAAAATTGAATATATCAGAAATCACCACAAGAAAAAATTAAACTCTTGTGGGAAAGTGCAGTCAGAGTGCTCTTTAGAGGCTAGGATGGTGAGACTTTGCTCCACATGTTTTGTGCATATGATCGTGAGGAGTCAGTTTCTAGGAAGGATATCAGGTTTGGAAACAGAGGAACAGTCTCTAGAAGATAAATTGACATGGTGCCTGCAGCAACAGGCTCAAAGACATGAGATCACATGCAGTGTAGGACAGGGAAAGGTTTCTATGGCAGGCACTGCTTGATGATGACACTCAACAAACACGGATTGAGTATCTGTCTCTTACAACTGTTTGTCCTGACTTCCACAGTGGGGTGAGGAGGGCTAAATATGGGATAACAACCAAAGGCAATGAAAGCTCAGCATACCAGGCCAAGTGCAAGCCCCCTTCTCCTGCCTCCTGTCAGCCCCTGGTGGTCCTGTTGACTCCACCACCAGAGTTCTGAGCAGCAAGACCAGCATGGGGTATGTGGGGAATCTCTACCTTCTCTATCTGGTCCTTCAGTTTTCCCACCTCCTCCTTGAGGGTGTTGGTGGTGACCTTGACTGAGGTGAGGTCACTGAGCAGTTCCTGCAAGATATGCATTACCTAGGGAGAGAACAAAGGAAGAGAAGAAGACATGGAGTTAGGTGTGTTTAGCTTTGAAGACACGAGGAGCCAAAGGCTACTTAGGAGCTCAGCCAGGGCCTCAGTTGGAATGTGCTTGGACATCAAAAAACATCAAAGCACAGTGCTTGGGACTCTATGGTGGCCTGTTCCAGGAGAGGCAAATGTGTCTGAAATTATGTAGTTTCCCAGGAAGTAAGTATCTTGTCCTGCGAGCAATTGTGTCTGTCACCCACCATCAAGTCAACTCAATGTGTGTGAAAGTTAGATAATGAATAAGGAAGACTGGAGAATCAATGTGTTTCAACTATGGTGTTAGTGAAGAGTATAAAAGATATCATGGACTTTTACAAATCCAGCAAACCTGTCTTGGATTTTTTAAGTATAATCTTCAGAAAGAGGATGGCAAGACTTTGTCCCACATACTAGGAGTATGTGATCAGGAAGGACCAGTATCTGGAGAAGGACATCATGCTTGGAAAAGTAAGAGTTTTTGTTGTTGTTGCTATTGGGTGCCATTGACCAATTACAACTCATAGTCACCCTACAAACAACAGATCTGAACCTTGCCCTAATCTATGCCATCCTTACCATCTCTGATATATTCAAGTTCATTGTTAATATCACTGCATCAGTTCATCTTGTTGTCTGTCTTTCTCTCTTTCTCTGACTCTTCATTTTTTTCCAGCATGATGTCTTTTTCCAAGGACTGGCTTTTCCTGACAACATGCCCAAAGTATATGAGACCAATTGTCACCATTCTTGACTCTAAAGAGCACCCTAGCTGCATTTCCTCCAAGACAGACTTGTTTGTTCTTTTGGCCTCAAAGGAATATTCAGCACTCCCTCCAACACTATTTCAAATGAATAATTTCTTCTTCTGTCATCCTTAGTCATCGTCCAGCTTTAAGAAACATAGGAAACAATTGAAAACACCATGACTTAGATCAGATACACATTAGTCTTTAAACTGACACTATTGCTCTTTAGCTATTTGGAGAGGCTTCTGACAGCAAATTTCCCCAGCGCAACTTGTCTTTTGGTCTCTTTATTGCTTCTACCATGAATGTTGATTGGATCCAATTAAAATGAAGTAACTGACAATTTCAACCTCCCACCCCCATCATAATGTTCCCAGGAATTGATGGGATACCAACTGACTTGTTTCAATTAATGGATGCAGCCCTGGATGTGCTCACTAGTTTATTCTAGGAAATTTGGAGGACAGCTTTGGGCCCAATGGATTGAAAAAGGTCTATATTCCTATTCCCAGGAAAGGTGATCCAACAGAATGTAGATACTTTCAAACAATATCATTAATATCACATGCAAACAAAATACTGCTGATGATTCAAAAGCAACCATAAGAGTACATAAGTAGGGAGAAGTTCAAGCAGTATTTAGAAGAGGTTGTGGAACCAGGGATATCATTGCTGATGCCAAATGGGTCTTGGCTGAGAGTAAATAATACTAGAAGAATGTTTATTTATTTTTTTAATAATTTTTTCTTATAAATTAATTTTACTTTACCAGTTCAGATAACACTTTCTTAAATAAGTGTGTAGTATTGTTAACATGAATGTCAGTATTTTTGCAAACAGTAGATTCTTTAAGAGTGGAAACCCTGCTTTGTTCATCTCTACCTAGTTCAGTGCTAGGATACTCAACAGAACTCATTTTATTGAGATTTCCATAACAGAAGGTAAAGATTTTCAGTGGCTAAGCTACAGAAGTAGATCACCTGGTCTTTTTAACAAGGTATCTCTAGATTGTCTTGGGGTTTTATCCTCTTGTTTTGCAACCAACCACATCAACCTTTTTTTTTTATTTAGTTTGTTTATTTTTCATTTCAATGAACATCTACAGAGATTTTGGAATTCCATTCATTCATCGTTGCACTATTTTAAAAATAATTTTAATGAACATTTACAGAGAATTTGGATTTCCATTCATTCATTGCTACACTTCTCTACCCACCCAGCCCTCTTCCCCCACCCCCCAGTTCGCTCCTCTTTCAAAAGCAAAAGAAAGACTCCCTCCCTGGTATACAATCCCCCCCGCAGCCCTCCCACTGCCCCAAGTACATTCCACTATGCAACCTTAATTGTGGACTCCTGTGACAACCATAATACTCTATCATACATCGCTTTTAAATTATTCAGTCCCTCATCTGTTTCAGTGCAGTATACACAATTTATCCAGTTTTTCTCAGTCGCACCCCAACCCTGATATCAATCCCATTTTACAGCAGTGGCACCATGCAACATTTGTCCTTTTGCGACTGAGATATTTCACTCAGTATAATGTCCTCTAGGCTCACCCATTTTGAATAATATGGAATGAGTTCCTTGTTTTTCAGTGCAACATAGTATTCCAGTGTGTGAATATACCACAGCTTCTCTATCTATTCTTTTGTTGATGGGCACGTGATTTGTTTCCAATTCCTTACTATTGTGAACAGAGCTGCGATAAACATGGGTGTGCATATATCTGCTTGGATGTCAGTTATGGTCTCTTTGGGATATACTCCCAGTAGTGGAATTGCTTGGGCAAATGGTATCTCTATTTGCAACTTTTGAGAAAGCGCCATACCACCTTCCACAGTGGTTGCATGATTTTACATTCCCACCAACAGTGAATAAGGGTTCCAGTTTCTCCACAACCTCGTCAGCATTTGTTGCTTGCTGTTCTGTTAAATTTTGCTATTCTGACTGGGGAGAGACGATATCTCATAGTTGTTTTGATGAAGAATGGTTATTTATGCTTTATTGACAATGCAAAGGCATTTGACCGTGTGGATCATAAAAATTGGGCCTGACATTGAGAAGAATGGGAATCCCAGAGCACTTAATTGTGTTTCTGTAAAACCTCTACCTGGATCAAGAGGCTGTTGGTCATGCAGGGGAACACTGCGTGGTATAAAATTGAGAAGAGAATGCATCAGGAGTGTATTCTCTCTCCATACCTATTCAATCTGTATGCTGAGCAAATGATTCAAGAAACTGGATTATATAAAGAAGATTGTTGCATCAAGATCAGCGGAAGGCTCATCAATAGGCTGCATTATGCAGTTGACTCAATCTTTTTTGCTGAAAGTGAGGAAAACTTGAAGCACTTGTTGTAGAAGATCAAAGAATACAGCCTTCAATATGGATGACATCTCAATGTCAAGAAAACAAAAATTCTTACCACTGAACATCATGATAAATGGAGAAAAGATTGACATTGTCAAAAATTACATCTTACTTGGATCTACAATCAATGTCCTTGGTACCAGCAGTTAGGAAATCAGGAGATGTACTGCACTGGGAAAGTCTGTAGTCATGGACCTCTCCAAATTATAGGGGGGTAATGATGTCAGTTTGAGGACTTGTTATGATGCATTTGAGAGCTGGACAATGAATAAGGATGACAAGAATTTATGCTCTGCGCTGTGGTGTTGGAGAAGAGTATATGAATTACCTAAAGAACAAATATGTCTTGGAAGCAAAGATGATAAAGCTTTGCCTTATACTTTTGGGTATGTTGCTAAGAGGGGCTGTTCCTTGGAGAGAGACATCATGTTTGGAAAGGCAGAGAGTTGGAAAAGGAGAAGAATATCCTCAACCAGGTGGATTGACACACCACCAAAAAAAGCAGCAGCATGTCTTTTGGGGCCAGAGATTCCTGTGCTGCCCAGATCAGGGCCTATAGGAGCTGGAAACCAGACATGAGATAGAAATGCCCTGGGACTGCTGTCCCATGGAGCCAGAGCTTGCTGGAGGACTGTGGGAATGAGGGAAAGATCCCATGATTGACAAGACTAGGAGAGCTTTGTAACACTGTCCTAATGCCACAAAGCTTAAGGCTGAAGGTCCTGTCAGCACATTTCATAAGCTTGTCTTGAGAAATTGTATCCTGTTGCAAATCTGAGTTGGAGCATGTTAACTTTCCTAGTAAATTCCATAATTGTGAGTATAGTTCTATGAGGTTTGTGTAGCTATTGCAATGGATTTGGGGAACAGTAGGATTGTTGTTGAATTTGTAGAAAGAGGTGCAGGAGTGGGGGAGGCATATCTGACCACATAGGAATTTGTTTTATGATGTAGATGCTGTTGACAGGGCAGTTCCTCCTAGTGAAATTAGTAAGAGGTCAGATATGGCCACACTCACACTACCCTTACTCTTTTTATAATGTGATATTAATGTTTTGTCTATTGAACAGAACATTCAAATTTCTTGGCACAGCCTCATAAACATGTCCAGTATTGCATCTGTTTGTTGAAATATGTCAATTGGTATCACATCAATTTCTGGGATCTTATTTTGTGCCTTCAGTGTAGCTTGAACTTCTTTAATTACCATTGGTTCTTAATCATATCCTACATCCTGAAATAGTTCAGTGTTTATCAATTCTTTTTAGTACAGTGACTATGTATATTCCTTCCATCTTCTTTTTTTTTTAATGTGCAAAGTCTTTTATTTAAAATTTGAAAAGTTAAGACTTATGACCACCTCAGCATAGGCCGTTCCCATCAGAAGGGGCAACGGCAGTTTCAAACGCGTGCAGAGCTGCATTTTCATTCACAGAACTCTAGAGGCACTTTAGAAATGAAGCTGGGCTTCAAAATACAAACACTGGGGGCTTTGGCTCAACCTTTTAATAGAAAAAAATTCACTGATGTACAAAAATGTGAAAATGTGACAATGACAACATATGAAATTCTGTGATTGCAAGTCCCCTTGAGTGCACACCGAGGTGCACACAACCTGCCCACACATCCTGTGTGGAAACATAACCTAATGCAAACCAGTGCTGCCAAGAAGCGCCAGAACGTGTCTCCATTCCACCAGTCACAGGTCAGCATCTATTCCAAACGTTCAGTAACAAAAAGTACGGCATCTTCCCAGGAACTGCAAGGCGGACTTCTTACTCACGATGGACCAGCACAAACAAACCAAGCAGGAAGAGGACTGCGTACTTAAATTTGGGATAGTCATTC